TTCAAAGTTTATGTATTTTTTTTATTGGGTTTATGATTGTTGGTGTAGGGTTGTATCGGGTACTTGCACAACACTTGTAAAGAAGAAGAAGCTTGAGGATATGGGGTTTCATGTTCACCTATTTGATGCAAACCACCCTGAGTGAGTCTATTGGTAATTTATTATAATTTGATTTTATAATGAATTCATCATGTTGTTTAGTATTAATAATACTTTGAAAATTTTAAATGATTAAGTGTAGCTACATGTGTCTGTCACACGTGTTAGACACCAGATACGTCTTTGTCCGGGATCGAACCCTAATCTTTTAATTCCTTCACTCTTGTTGTCTCTGCACAGATACCAACCGAGTTGAGCTGACGTTCGGAACAATGTTAGGTTTTGTTATACATGCTATGAAAATACTTATTAGATGATAAAAGATGGTTTTTTAATTTAAGATATTCAAAGGAATGCACGCAGCTGAAATAGATGATTATTTTTGCAGTCTGAGTATCCTACAACTACTGAGAAATTACACTCATTTTCTTGTTTCTATCCCCCCTGTTGTCGGTATTGGTGACCCGGTATGATCTTAGTATAACAATTGTTATGTTTTACCATACTGAATCAGTTTTGTATTCTTGTCTAATCCCTTTCAGTTTCTCCTTTTTACTTTTATTTGAATGATTTTGTAGATGCTTCAACATGAAGAACTTATTAGAAGCTCTTTAGTCAATGGGGGTCTTCAGTGGCTCTGTTACTTGTCTTCAACAAGTAAGTCTTTAGTGAAATTAGTAATGAGTTTAATGTCGCCGTTTCTTCATAGACATAGATGTAAACAAAATATTCCACTCTTTTGCCTTGTTCTTTTCCTTCCGATTCCAAAATAGAAAATTAGTCCATGAATTTTCATTCAATACTTCGGCTGTCAAAGCGAGTTAACTTTGATAGTTGGAAGACATATTTTCTTGTTTTTGTTCATACAATGTTCTTGTTGCTGGCATTGATTTGCAAAGCTACACCCTTTCAGCCAGAAAGAGCTACTTAGAAAATAAGTTGTGATAAACTGATGAGGAGCCACGGGATATTATTCTGTACATATTTTTCTACTAAAAGTAGGGGTGGCAAACGGGCTTGCCCGGCCCGCCAAAATACGGGGCAAGGCGGAGCAGGAAAAGTAGAGGCACGTGCTGGAAACCTTGGCTCGGGCTGCCAAAATACAGGGCAAGGCAGAGCCAGCAGAGTGGAGGGGACTGGCTGAAAACCTTGGCTCGGCCTGTCAAAAACGGGGTGGGGCCGGCAGACCCTTTTACTCCTAAGGCATAAAAGTGGCAAAAAGCCATGTCCGTCCCGTTTAGGCCCGCACCCGCCAAAAACCTTGGTTTGACCCGCCATCCTATCATACAAGAAATTAATGTCTTAATGTTTGTTAGATAACCTTTATAGCTAGCAAGAAAGATTTCGTCTTAGTAATGAAATGATAGCATATGTTGTAATGATTAAAAAAAAGCTTGATTTTGCATATGCGTTAAGATACCAAGATAGGATTCATTGCAGACCCTTAGTTGATGTTCTAGTTGATACAAGTTAAGTACTTCTGCGGCTGCTTCATTAGACATGTAAAAATGCTCTCAAATTAATAATGATGTTTTTTGTCTCGCTTGCAGGTGTCTATGGAGATTGTGATGGTGAATTGGTAGATGAGGAGTAAGATAGTGTAACGAAATAAAACACTTTTGTCTTCCACAATTTCTGAACTTCTCTGTTAGTTGGCTCTTAATGTGTACGTCGTAATGTGGCAGTTATCCTACAAATCCAGAAAATGAGTTGGCTAAATTAAGGTTATCTTCTGAACAAGGCTGGTCAAATTTGGCTCACCATCTCAAGCTCTCGCCACTACTATTTCGACTGGGAGGTATCTATGGCCCTGGTAGAAGGTACAAACTTTTTGTTGTGATCTATCTTCCAATCACGGGTGGGAATAGACTGGACTAGGCTTTGCAAGATCACTTTGAAACTGTCAAGCCCGAGTCTGACCTAATTTCTGTCATAGGTTAATTTTTTAGGCTTGACCTTTTGAAAAGACCGTTGACAAGCCTACTTCACCATTTTTTTATACAAAAGCTTATACGACTATTACTCTTATTATGCCTTTGGTACATATTATTATTATTACATGCTGGCCAGAAAGGTCTAGTAGACTATTTTACCAGCCCAATCTCGTTTTTTTTTTTTTTAATTTGAAGGGCTTTTGGAAAAGTCTAAAAACCTGACCTTTTAGCTAAATTGGTCTGTGAGACTTTGCATAGGCTAGTCACGGGCCTATATCGGGCTATTTGACCTACTTCCTTCCAAGTAATGTTTCTTTAATATCAATATCTTTGTGGGATCTATAAAATCCTTTACATTTTATGCTCAAGTTGGATAACATAACAATCCATTCAAGTCTGTCATTCCAAAGATATGTCATGCTAATAGGTGACATGATACGAGACATTGGTTCTCATCAGGAATTTAATTTACAAAATTGGGTTCTATCTTTAAATCATCTGTCTCTCTGTCGCTTACATGTCTATTTAGAATAATATTTATATTCATTTGGCATAACAGTTATTTTGTTTTAGTGCTGTTGATACATTAATCAAGCAAAAGCCCTTGTCAGAAGGTCAGAAGAGAAGAAAACACCGTAAATATACGTCGAGAATCCATGTCGATGATATCTGTCAGGCACTTATGGCTACTATTGATGCACCTTCTTCCCCCAGGCGAGTTTCCATTATAACAAGAGTTTTATTGATGTATGTATATGCTCCTCCCACAATTAATAACCAACCAACAAACCAACTGCCCCCTTCTCAACCTCTTTTCTTCTCTATTTATAGCAATCTAACTTACTAACAAACAGGAAACTGTTTATCACACGTCCCCCTCTCAACTAATACCGAAATAATTGGCTTGGCCCGCTTACCACCCTTGGGTCTACCTTCCCTTTTCTGTCATAAACCTTTCTTTTTTTGGATTTATTGGTGGTTGGGTCATGTCACAATTTTCTCTTAACTAACTATTCTAAGTTTCCGTGCATGTTTGGTATCACAGTAGGTTTGCCAAAATCACGGTGATTTTTTGCTAAATTACGGTGGCTCAATGTGATTTTGACAAATCCAAAGTGATACCGAATATGCACTCCAACCGTAAAAGCAAAAAGGCAGGTTAGTCTGAACTCTGAAGTAGTTGGAAGGTTTATGGCTGTTGCAATGAACTAAGCACTCAGCATGACTGAAGAAACCTGGATCTTTAATTTTGAAAATTGTCTAAATGCCTTCATCACGTGTATTGGCAATTCTTTTTGCAGTTATAGAATTAAAAGCTGTACTGTATAAAATAGATGAAGGGTTTACAGCATATAGAATATTTTGCCAAATATAGCAACAACAATTGTAAATACACTTGATAGAGGCTAAACTGACTCTGCCATCATCAAATTCAGATATTCAATTGTAAATTTATTAGAATTCCTTCATCATAAAAACAGTAACCGTAATAACTCCTATCATTGCTTTTTGTGAATTTATTTTGACAGTAGGGCCTGCTTTGTGCTAACAAAGGTCTATTTGTTTTACGGATAAAAAAAAGCCGGTTTGTTTTGAAATCTTGTTTTAAATTTAATAAAAAAAAATTATTTCATTGTTTTTACATGTTTTCACAGATTTGTTCAAGAAATAATGAAATCAACATTTTTTTAGAGGTTTTCCGAACAAATATTAGAAAACAGATAACATAGTGAAAAATAAATGAAAAAATAAAATGGAGAAACTACTTAGGCCGTTGATTGTAGTCTTTGACATGTAATTTTCAGGGTAATTTACAATATTGTTGATGATGATCCAGCTCCAAGGGAAGAGGTATTTGAATATGCAAGAAAACTGCTGGAGAAAAAGTGGCCAGGCTTAAACTTGCAACCTCTGGAACAGAAAGAGTGGTCAATTGTAAAATCAAGAAATGAAAGGGGTGAGAAGCGAGTGTCTAATGCCTTAATGAAGAAGGAACTTGGAGTGCAGCTACTTTACCCTGATTACAGGTCTGGTTTGAAGAGTATAATTGACCAGATTCAGAGCCCTTTTCATTGTGATTGATCACGTTTAAGTCAGATCTGGTTTGAAAAGTATAATTGACCAGATTCAGAGCCTTTTTCGTTGTGATTGATCATGTTTAAGTCAAATTGAAATGTTGAACATGGAGTTCAAAAGAACTGAAGCATGAATTGTTCTACCATCTATCACTTCTTTATCTCCTTTTACACGCCCTTTTTTTAGAATTCTCAAACATCAATTTAATCAAGAACCATTGCAACATTAAAATTTAAGTCCCAGTTTAAAATTAAAAAATGTTATCGATATATTCTGTTACGTATTTTTAACACATACTCTTAATGTTGAAAATTAGAAGAATCTCATTATCTCAAATAAGCCTTGCAAAAATTTAACTGCATAAACTTTGGATAATAAAGTGTACTGCAATCGCTTATTTAATAAAAAGCCTACTACATTACTAGTAGTCACAAGCATTCAATACGCTTACTAAGCAATAAGAAAATACACCACCTTGTGGCCAATATATCAATTACGACCATTCACAGTTGCTGTGACAAATGACAATCTTCAAATTCACTTTACTCTTGAGTCATTTCTGAAAATATGATTAACATATTTGGGCTATGGTTTTTAACCTTAAAGACTAAGCCATATTTGGGCTCTGAAACCATAAAACAAGTGAAAGCATCTTTGCAAGAAACATGTATTTGTTTCCTCTGCCTTCCTGTGCTACCAGTGTTGTGGCTCAACACTTGCCAAGGGAAGCCATATTCATACAAATCATATTCATATGAACTATATCACCTTGACTGGACTTTCTGGTCAAAATTAATTCATCTAAAGTTGTAAGTGAAGTTAGACTACATAGAAAGTGTGCTATATTACTTCTCTAATTAGAAAGGGGCTGATTCTTACAGCAAATGGAACTCAATCTTTTCTATATCTTGCCCAAAAGCTTTTCTTCCTCGGAGAATCATTCTCAGACAGAGACCGGCTACACTTTGAACCGTTTGAAAAATGCCTCCTCAAAAAGGGCTTTCCAACTGAGCTCCTTGTACTGGAGCTAGCTTCCATCTTTGAAACTTTTCCTCCTAGTTCAATATCTTTTTGGCCATCAAAATCACCATCAAGGTAGCTATCAACTACACGATTTCTGGATATCTTGTGGTTCTTGGCCTTCATCTCTGCTTCAGCCCGAAAACATTTTCTGGACAACTTTGAAAAGTGCTTATCACCAACCATACAAATTGGACACGATGGATCATACTTATCTGCCTCTGCAGTCATAGTCTCTAAGCATTCTGCATGAAATGTGTGACCGCATATTAGTACAGCTACAACGGAGAGATCACTGTTGGCAACAAACTTTTGGTTGCTCCATGCTGATTTGTCAGACAAAAGCCTTGTGCAAGCTCCACAAGATTGTAGATCCATGGATGGTGAATATGACAACCTGCTACTGGATCCACTAATCTTTAGACGACCTGAACCTAAACACTCACTGTCAAAAGACCACCTTCCCCTTTGTGAGGAGGCCACCAGCTCAGAAAAGGTATGCATCGACCAGCCATCAGAAGATCCACATTGGGATATAGCTTCGATTTCATTGCTGCAAGCGGAGAGTACAAATGATACCCTCCCTTCAAAAATTGAGCTGTCTGGTGATTTTAGACCCATGATCTGATTATCAGAAATCTGTCTCAACAGTGGGTTTCTTAGAGATCGATGCGCCCATCTTGTTGGGGTAGAGTTGGGATGATGATAATCATGATTATATAAAGGACCAGATACAGGTGTTGATAAAACTGAAGGTATTGAAAAGGAATGATTCGGCATTGAAGATTCTCCTGGATTCTTCACCTAAACAGAAACAGCAATTAAGAGTGAGCCGAGTACTATAGTTGAAGCCTAAAATTAACACTATGCACCATAAAGTTATGGTCCCAAATCAGTTGATCAAAACTAACCACGGTAGAAAAATTGCTTGACATGGACAGATCTGCAACAAGCACACAGGGGAAGAAAAAAAGAAAAATCAATGCCAAACATGGAAACAACAAAAGAGGAACAAAAGTTCATAAAAGACAGCATCTGAATGTCAATAAGTTATATCTAGGACCATTAAACAAAAAGAACCAAGTTCAAAAACATTATACTGGATGGGAAATATCAAAAGAAAGGGACAAAAACAAAGAAACATATGATGATATTAAGAAGACATGTAAGATCGAGATCCCATGCACACAAGTCTGGAACAGAAAAGTTTTTCGTTTTTAGTAAGATATATGTAAACCTAACCGATTATGATAGAGAAACATACAGTTTTGTTATTTACTTAATCTTTTGTATTCATTCTTGTAGTATAAATATCGATTGACTTTACCAAGCTTTGATGACTTTAATGACAAGGCTGGCTAAGGGTAACCGGGAGTATTTCTCGTGAGATAATTGCTGTTTACAAAAGGTTATCACAGAAGGGAGATTGATTTCAAACTGTTTTAATTGTCGTCCCTCTATATGATCAAGAGTCAGTCTCTAACCTCCACCTAAGACCCATCAAACATTACGTGATGGGTTGGCAAAATACAAAAATAAGCACAAGATCCTACAAGTATATTCCTTTAAGCCTAAAGCAGAAAATATAGGGATATGCAGTTAAGGAGAGAGAATGTCTTCTGATAGAAGAGTTGCCGTGGAAGAGAGAATGGTTGCATAAGTGGATCAAGCAACCGGGATAACATAAGGATCATTTTATCTTTCTGTTTTTAAGCACATGCCTTGGGCTACTAGTTTCCTACGAAGGTGGGAGCTTTGGCTCTGATTTTCTTTGGTGATTACACATAAGTTCATATAGTAATATAATCTCCCTCTACTGGATACGAATTGTTCCTATCATTATCCTTGAAGAGCAAAAGAATAGGAGTTTAGTGTTTAGCATTTACCAGAAGATGGTGTCATTATGTTTGCAGCCAATGCCTCATTGACAGGTGACTTCAGAGAAACAGGAGTTGCAGAATTGTCCAGGACGCTTCCCCCATCCGATAAATTACTTCTGTAAGAACTTAACGAGCCTTTAAACTCCATGCTGACATTTCTACTGACCGCATGAGATGAGTGATAGGAAGGATTCTGAATTTCACCAGCAACACGCCCCCGAGTATCCCATCTAAAGCTCCATGATGGTGAACATGCGACACCCCTATGCAAACTTTCTCTTTCAATTCTGTTAGTACTATTACTACGATCCTTTACAGCAACACAACAAGTCGAACCCATAATATTAATAACTGCATACATACAAAACGATCAATATAAATAGTAGAAATATAAAAAAAAATACTACTCATGACATGCTTAAAAATAAACATAAAATCCAATAAATTTGCTCGATATTGCAATAAAGAAAAACTCAAAACCTAACCTTGATTTCCAACAACAAGAAACTGTAATCGAACTTCCTCCTGAAGAACAAACAAGATGAAAATAAGATTAAACCGGGATTTCAAAGCAACAGAGAAGCAGATTCCGGAGCCCTTAGCAAAACAAACTATAAGTCTGATTTTTTTATTCCCATACAAATCTAGTTCATGCGAGCAAGCTGCCATCATAACATTGAAATTCAATCATGAACAGAACATTTCTATTAATTACATAAAAGAAACATAAATCAAATACTAAAAAACTCAAAAAAGCTTCAACCACAATTCAACTGTAAACACACATATGCAAAATCTGAAAACATTCAACCATTTTCCAATTTTGTTCAAAAAACAAGTTCAAGCATAAAATTTCCAAACATGCGATGAAGTAATTAAAAGCAACTAGATAATAATTACCATAAACAGCTAAAAAAAATGAAAGCATAAATCAACAACAATACTAAGAATTGCTAATTCAGTTCCAATCTCAATCGAAAAATCAATAATAATAATACAACTTAAAAAAAAAAAAATTCTAGGGTTTAGAAACATTGTGAAGAGAAGTATAGTAGATGCATACGATTGATTGATTAACCAAAAGAGATAAACGAATGATTGAAGATGAAGAAGAAGATGCGAATGTTACTTGAAAACTAGAAATTGAGAGAAAAAAAATTGGGAACGTTCATGATGGCGTTGGAAGGGAAGAGAAGAAAGTGATATAACGGCGTGGAACGAGGAAACTGAAGAAGAAGAAGGAGAAAGCGTTATAACGGAATGTATTTAACGGTGGTGGCCTTCTATAATCTAACCGTCATTTTGTTTTGACACCTTTCATCCATTTTTATTTCCTTTCCAAAACCAAAACTTTTCTTCGTACCTCTTTCTCTTTATCTTCTTTTTTATTTTTTATTTTTTTATTTTATTTATTCTTGTGTTTTTTAAAAATTAAATATTTTATAAATAAAGTATTATTTTTTAAATTTAATAAATAATTGATAAATATATATATATATATATATATATATATATATATATATATATATATATATATATATATATATATATATATATATATATATATATATTACTTATTTAATAAATTTGAAAATTAATTTTTATTTAATGTATATTTAATAGTAGAGTCTGGATTCGATATAGAAAATACATAAATAAATAAATTTAAGATTAAATGAATGTAAATAAAAATTAAAAATTTGTAGTGAGTTTAAAATACTATTTATATAAATGGATCTTACCTTAAACACACATAATCTATATAATTTTGTTTAGAAAATATTTATTTTAAAAAGAAATATAATGTAAATACCTAAAATACCTAATGTTTCGCGGAAAGTATACATCTTTTAAAATAGGAAAACTAAGTCTATGAAAACTAAAATTGAGACGTCAGATTTTTATGTGATTTAGTTTTGAGAACTTTATTTTATTAAAGTTGATTTTTGTGTGATTTACTACAGTATTAAAATTTTTAGTAAAGTTAATTTTTGATTTTACTAATGAATGTATCAATTTAAGAAATAATAATTGAAAGGATGGCATTCATTTAGACACTTTGACCATGGCATTCATTGTCACTTTCTAACGCAGTCTTACTACGACTATTGACCTAGAATCTTACATACATCATCATTTACTATTTTGTACACGCAATTTATGGACCACAGTCACAGATAAAATGATGAAAATGACCTTACACTAGTGTCGTAAATTAAAATTACACCATCCGAATACTATTACAATCAATTTTTACTTTTTTTTTTTAGGTTAATATATTTGATTATTAATGTATCTTATTTATATATGTATAGAATAGAGTTAAATGTATTAAAAAATAAAAGTTATTTATAATAATATTGAAAGGGTGTTTCAACTCAACTTTGGTTAGTCCACCTTTTTAATTTTAAAGGTCAAATAAATCATGAAGATTGCCGACTTAGTACAATGTCAATTGCAATTTTCCACAGTTTGGCAACTCCAATAGAAATTTTCCACATATGAAAATTGTTTTTTAATAAATCAATTTTTTTTAAGTGAAGAATTATGTAAAATTTTATCTTAAAAGAAAGTTAACATTAAAAACAAATATTTTAATTTTTTACTAATGATATAAATTTAAATGAAACAATAAATTTAATTACTAAACTCATTAATTATTTAACCAAATAATTAAGTAATTAAGTCCAAGTGGTTAATGAGCTCCTTAAATAAATTGTTCAAGAGAATTCGAGTTTGATTTTTGATCGGAACAATTTTTGACTAAATTTTATTTATCTTGCAGTCGAATTTGTTAACGGATGAAATTGCTACTCATTCTCCACTCAGTGAAGATGAGAGCTAAACCAGAAGGTTGCAAGCGAAAATGTAGAATAAGATTAAACTTTGATAATCATTCATTAGCTTTCGTATACAGTAGGCATAACTAATATACAAGGTGATAGAATTACAGTTACAACAATATAAAACTAACCAATGCTAAGTTGGCAGTTGTTAGTTAATTATAACAGAAAATATCCATAACAGAAAGTGAAAATGCCACATATGAAAATCAGTAGTAAGCCTTAGTCACATACATCTAACACCCCCCTCAAATTGAAGGTTGGTGAGCTTCACACACCACCTAGAGTTTGGATCTCAAGTCTTGAAAGGCTGTTGTGCCAAGAGGTTTGGTCAGAGTATCAGTTATTTGTGTTGTTGCGGGGACATGTTGAATGGCTAACCGTTTTGTCACAACTCTCTCTCAAACAAAATGAATATGTAGCTCAATATGTTTAGTGCGAGCGCAAAGCACTGGATTATGAGATAACAGAACAACACTTAAATTGTCATATAAAAGTGTAGGTGTGTGAAATGACACAATAAGTTCTGAAAGTAATAATTTAACCATATAAGTTTTCGCAGTTGAATGAGCAAGAGCACAATATTCTGCCTCAGTACTGGAACGTGCCACCAAGGAATGATTTTTAGAGCTCCGTGAAATAAGATTGGGTCCAAAGTAAAGACAAAAACCAGAGGTAGATCTTCGATCATCCAGATCACTCACAAATCTGAGTCACTATAGTGTAGCAATTGGTTTTTAAATCAAGAGTCGCCACTATTAGTTTTTATCCTAGGGAAGGGCATCTAATAGGAAACCCTAATTCGCAGATAGAGATTCTAGGTTTCAGACTCAATTAGATGAAAGGAAGGAGTTAGGCACCTTTCATCTACCTTGTTCACAAGGATATTAAGCTCTAGGTTTAGGTTTGGGATAAACAAGGTTTTAAGTTTTAATTAGCAAGACTCGCCACGATTTTAGATCGCGTGCCTACGTATCCTCTTATGAGGAATCAGAGTCTCAATTCGTAGTTCGTATGGGTTGATGTCTTTTAGGGGTTTGCAAACATATTTTGAATCACTTCGCACTCGGTCGGGAGTAGTGATTGCGGAGATTTTGACTGAGAACACGGTAAGCCAAAATTAGTTTGAAACCCATTTGCAAAAAAGACTGTTGATTAGCTTAGTTTTATTCGCGAAAATAATTTGAGATTTGTTTGTGTTTTTTAATAATATTAATTGCAAAAAAGTCTTGATTAATGTATGATAAAAAAAATTAATGCAATATACGTGAAAATAATATGTACATGAGTTTTGAATAAAATATATTTACATGTGATAATAAATAATAATAATATAAAATAAAATAAAGTACTAATAATTATTATATAAAAATAATAATATAAAAATACTATACTAATAATTATTATAAAAATAAATAAATAATATAAAAAGAAAATAGAAAAATATAAGGATTATATAAAAAATAGAAAATAATTTAATTAGTTTCAAGGGGGGTGCAGTTTTAGTTTAGAAGTAAAACATGGGGGTGTGAAGAGATAGGGTCTGAATTCAGTTTAGGCCCAGTAAGCCTGGGGGTGCGTTGCTATCTTTGTTTCAGTAATTGTATCAAAGGGGGTGTGAGGAGAAATTGGGTTAGGCCCAAACACATTTTGTGAGAGGTCCGGAGGATTGGGTGTGCGAGGGAGTATGGTTATACGGTGGACTTGACCTCACGACCGTCCACTTATGACCACACAGATGAGATTGACGAGAACACATTTATTACCGTAGGCGCGGGCATACTGGATCTGACAGAATATAAATTATGGTTTTAAATTTTTCTTTTCATTTTGGTCTTACAACAAACCTTCCCCGTTCTTTCTCTCCCAACCCTTTATCTTCTTTCTGTTAACCCTAATATCTACAACCTATCGCGGAGGCGCCTAACCCTAGCCCTCCATTAACATCAACCCCTTATCCTCCCCAAATCACAATAGTAAAAAACAAATCTAAGTTCTTATTTACCTCCACTTGTGATTGTGCCGTTACTTTTCTGTTTCAAACTAATTTCTTTCTTCGATTTCTTTGATGCGCAGGTCAACGGAAAAGGCTTCGCAGACGGCTTACGGTGGCGGAAGTGAGGCAATGGCAACGACGATTAGGGTCTTAGATATTGAAACCCTAATCGTCTCTCTTTCGTCTTCTTCAACAAATGAGCAAAAATCCCCCTCTTCTGTTAATTGGTCTTCGTATCTTTCTTCAGGCCTCCGTCTTCTTCAATTTTGTTCTTCTCTGCAATCGAACGCCTTACTCTCTGTTCTGTTAATTCTATCTTTCCCCCTACTGTTAATTTTTTGCTTAGTATTTATAGGGTTTGAAACGGATTAGGGTTTCTTGCTGTTATGAATTTGATTAGCATAGATTTAAGGTTTATTTAGAATAATTAGGGATTGATTCTGTACATTTGAGATTTACTGTATTTTTTAGATTGAAATTGATTTTCGGATTTGTTTATTTTGCACAGTTGATTGAATGTAATTCGTATTCTGTATATTTGTGTTAACTGCAAAAGATCTGTTTTAGTAATTTTTTATATTTGATTCGATTTCAATTGCAATCTAAACAGTAAGTGTTATTGCATAATTTTATGGCTTTGATCGCTACAGTATGTGTTACTGATTTGTGCTTCATGCTGTTATTATTTCTTTTGCCCAAAAAATGCTTTTGGGCCTCACACTGTTTCATCCCAGCACTTTACAGCAAACAACAAGACTTGTTTTGTTATTATTTGTAACTGACATTATTATTTTGGTACGAATTGAGCCTAAATTTACAAATTTTGGCCCAGC